TGGGTTTCCTCCTCTGTGACCAGTCCCTCTCTTCCTTCTTTGCATGTCCACTTCTTCTTCTTTTTTTTTGGTTTTTTTTTCTGATACCAGGAATCGAACTCACGACCTTGCGTTTGCCAGGCAGGCACTGTGCCGCTGAGCTAAATCCCCAGGCTCTGCATGTCCACTTCTGATTGCCAGGGGCAGTGGAGAACCTGGTGTCCGCAAGACTGAGAACACGAAGAAGGTCACCCAGCACTTTGCCAACATCAGAGGAACTGGCAAACAGTCTCGGGATGAGAAGGTAGGGCTGACGGGCTGCGCGTGGGTCTAGCTCCCTTTTCTATGCTTCTGTGGCACACACTGCAGGCTCATTTGGTCTGCACCGCTCTATGGATTAGGGCCATTTTGTGGAAGGTGAGACTGAGGCTTCCAGAGAAGTGACTTGAGTTGGGTCACATGGGGACGAGGTGGCCACCCCCTCTGGTTCCTGCCCCCAAAAGAACAGGAACAGAAGAGAAAAGTTCCCTGCTAAGCTGCTTCTGCAGGCCCTGGCCACCCTAAGGGTACAAGGACCCTTGGCGGGACCCACAGCAGCTGAAAACACTGGCAAAGAGGAAAACAGCTTTGCAGGCAGGCTGAGGATGCAACAAAAGGTTTCCGGGTGCCCACAAGGGTCTCTCCTCTGACTGCAAAGCCAAGGAACAACAGCTAGGAACCAAGGCTGCCAGTGTCCCCACGCACCCCTCCTGATACCACAGGGCCACAGAGGGACATTGGCAGGAGTGTTCCTCCTCCCACCTCACTACCTATGGCCCCATTGACTCTGATTTCCCAGCCTCCCCAAGGCCTTCCCCTCCCGGGTTCTAGGCACAAAAGTCACTACCATTTGCAAGCCCAGTGCCTCTGCCGTGGATCCCAAGGCAGCATCCAACTGGTCACTCCTCTTTGGGTTTCTTTTTGGGTCAGGGGTCCCTGGAGGATCAAATCATCCGGGCCAACCCTATGCTGGAGGCCTTCGGGAACACCAAGACCACCAGGAATAACTACTCCTCTTGCTTCATAAGTGTGAGCAGCAGTAATAGGGGTCCCTTGGGGATGGTAGGACAGGTACCACAAGCCCATTCCAGGTAAATAAGTTGAGGGTGACATAAGTTGAAGAGAAGGGGAAGAGGCAAGTTGAGGCACCTTGCTCCCAGAGATCTGTAAGACCATCAAGGTCTGACCAGCCAGCAGAACCCACTTCAGTATTTAATCAAGTGTCTCTGTGCAGAGACTTGCTCAGGGTGATGGAAGGGCCACAGAGTCACACAGGGCACCCAGAGATTCCCACTACCAGGAAGTTGTGACCCCTTCCGGGCAGGGAGGGAACTTGGGGAGGGCCCCTGATGATTTGGGGTTAGGATGTGTAAAGCCCAAGCCGCAGGAAGATCTCAGCAATTCCTGAGACTCTGCCCACAGGAGAACAATCTGGGCCCCTCCTTTCGCCTCTCCAGCCCTCTCTGGGGCTCCTCCTTGGCGGAGGCTGGTGAGCGGCTGGGGGTCCTGGGAAACAGGGCAGAGGGGCAGGGGGAGCTGGGGAACGGGGGAGGGAAGAGGCGATGGCAAACAGGTCCGGGAGCAGCCCAGATGGATAGAGAGGAGCCCATTTCCAGGCATGTTCGGTTGTGGCCTGCTACAAATCAGGGAGAGGAGTGGGATGTTTCTTGTTAAAAAGACACCCTGCCACCTGGCTGTTTGGCCAGATTCCCATGAGGCCAGGCCTCTAGGCAAAATTCCAAAGAGTCCCAGCCTCTTCTGCTGAGTGCTGTCTCCCCCACAAACCCCAAACCACACACACACACACACACACACACACACACACACACACACACAACATCTCTGCCTAAGCACCACCTTGTCTATTTCCCTCTCTGCTCATCTTTGTGGGACACACACAGCTCCACACACAGCCCAGTTACGTGGCCCACAGCCCCCTTCGACCTCATGGTGGCTGCTGAGGAGCCCCTCAGATCTGGGCTACATCTTGTTCTACAGCTATGAGCAACCTCTCTCACACCCTCTCCGTTCTCCTCCTTGTACAGAGCAAGTTCATCTGAGTCCACTTTGGAACTACAGGCAAACTGGCCAGAGCTGACACTGAGAGCTGTGTCAGGCCTCTTTGAAAGGGTTTGTTCAGGCAGGATCAGCTACTTAAATTCTGAAGCCCTCTGCACGATGAGAATGAATGGTCCTTATTTAAAAACTATTAAGAACTTCAAGGCAGCACTCTGGGAGGATGAGGCAGGAGGGTCTCAGCCTGGGCAACTGAATGAGATGCTCAAAATTGTAAACGCTGGGGATGCAGCTCAATGCAAAGTCCCTGGGTCAATCCCCAGGCCTTGAACTGAAAAAGAAAAATAATTCCAAACTAGCCATGGAGGAGCATTAAACCAAGCATAAAGCCCTTCTGAGGTTGGCCCTACCACGATCGCTTCAGCCCTGCTCTGGGCCCCTATCATTGGCAATCAGGCCCACCAAGGCCTGCAGTCTTTGAGGAGAGGGAAGTCACGCCTCCAGTGGCAACTGTACCAGGAAGAGGGGGCCCCGCTTTCCGTAGGACCTGAACTCTGGGCGGAATGGTGTCTACTCACTGGATGTCTGCTGACTCTTTTTTCATATCTCTTAGGGAAATCTCATGTCATTTCACAGCAGGCAGCTGAGGGAGGCTACCACATTTTCCAGCAGATTCTAACAAGAAGCCTGAACTTGTTGGTAAAGCTCCTGGTGTCCATCTGCCTGCCCTCGAGCTCGCTTTTCCATGTGTGTGAGGTCTTGTGTCATCCCTCTGGTCCTGAGAGGATCTTTTTGGTTTAAAGTTAAGGGATCCACCACTTCCAGGGAGCTTTGTCAAAGTCCTACTGTGTATCTCATCCTCACAGCAGCCTGTGCGGCTTCATGCCGCTGCTGGTCCATTTCTCAGATGGGGCTTTAAGATGCTTGCACCTCCTCGCTGAGGTGTGACCCTGGAGTCTGAGGCTTTCGACGCTCCATGTCTTGGGGCTGATGTTTCTGACTTTGATGCTCAGATAGCAAGCAGCGCAGGGTTAGCCTGGGACCGCGGTTATCCCAGGACGAGTGCTTGCATGAGCACTAACAGCAGGCTCCTCTCTGGGTAGAAACAGCCCACACTGGCTGCACAGCTTGGAGAGCAGAATACACTCACCCACTCAACTGGATGCCTTGAACAGGCACCAACATGCTCAACTGTCCTTGGCAGACCTGCTCAGGATATTAGGTGGGAGGAGGGATGGAGTCTTAATCTTCCACACACACACCTCCTAACTCAGCCAGAGATGAGCGTATTGGGCGCCATACCTCACTCACAGGTGGGCTTCGTTTGTGTTAAACATAGTACACTTTTAAAGTAACGGATGGCATTTTGAAATTGGGAGATTTTACATAAAAAATCCTACTCCCTGGTTTTTGTTAGAGTAGCAGAAGAACCAGTGCCTTGGAGCCTGCCCTCCTACATGGCACTAATCAGGGCAGGTCAGTGGGGGCTGCGTGCCACCCCAAGCTGGAGCTCAAGTTCTGCTGTTCTCCACACTTCCCCACCAAGCCCTATTACCTCCCTGACACAGAACAAAGTAGCGGTCACCATTATCTTCCTTCCTGTGCTGCAGTTTTTCTTTATCATGGGCATACCGCGAAAGGAAAACATTTCTTGAATCTGTCTCCTCCAAAAATTAAACACAGAGGTAGATGAAGAGGTGCACGCATCTGAAGAAAACAAGAAGAGAGTATATGTTTTGTAAAAGCAACAGCATCCTCATGTGTGTTACATAAAGTGATTATATGGCTCATGGAAATCATTGTTACCTTCTGCATCAAAGTGTGTCCCGTCCATTATAGGAGGGGAGGCGGAAAGATACAAATTCATTTACTCCCCCACATTATCTACTGAATGCAGGTATTGAAGACACAGCTAAGTTCCTGTGACCCTCTCGCCACTCTAAGCTCCTTGTGTGTCTCTTCCCATCCCTTTGGGGCACTGAGTGATCCTAGGAACCGCATCCTAATCAGCTCTGTGACCCTCACGATGCTTGTCACCATCCCTCCCTTGTGAGTGGCATTTGGAGATGTGAGTTAGAAATAAAAGGGAAGCCAGGTGTGGTGGCGCACGCCTCTAATCCCAGCACTTGGGAAGCTGAGGCAGGAGGATCGTTGCGAGTACAAGACCAGCCTGGGCTACAAAGTGAGCTCGAGGCCAGCCTGAACTGCATAGCGAGACTTTGTCTCAAAAAACCAAAAAAAAAAAAAAAAAAAAAAAAAATCAAAAAAAGAAGTGAAAGGGAAAATAGTCATGTGTTAGCGTGCTGTTAACCTGCTTTGCTGCTCTCGGCAGTGTTTGCTGCTGGTCTCCAATCCTAAGGAGCACCACTGGATAAGCCAAAGCTTCCCTGTGGTGGACAACATGGACGGCAGAGAGGAGCTGCAGATCATAGACTGGAGTGGGTTGGTGCGGCTTATAAAGGGCAGGAGGACAGCTCGGGGTCCACTGTTCATGGCCACCACAGCTGGGGTCAGGGTGTGGTCTCTGAGAGCGGGGAGACAGCAGCAGACAGTTCTAGCAGCAGCGTCTTTACTCGAGATTTCTAGGGTGGTACCTGGCATTTATCCCCAGCCTGCTCTAGCAAGCAGCGTTTCTCTGCACAGTTAAACTAAAATTCCATAGGGACTTGGTTATCCTCCCCACAGAACCTTTCCCCAATCCCGCTAGAAGGGACTCTCACCCTCCCAGCCCCTACTGCACGCTCCGTCTCTCTCTGTCATGGCACTGAGCTCTCGTGACTTCTGTTAGAATTAGTCACGCCTCGCTCAACAAGGGAGACACATTCTGGGTAATGTGTTAAGTGATTTCATTGCGCAAACATCAGAGAGCATAATTGCACCTGGGTGGTACAGCCTGCTATTCACCTAGGCTATTTGGTATTTATAGATGGTATAGCCTATTGCTCCTACAGCCAGGAGGGACAAACAACATGAAATTAAATCAAGCAAAAGAGAAATGGTGCAGTTGAGAGACCAGTTAACACAAGATGTATGAGACTGCTGCCAGTGTAAGACTCTGTGCTGTTTCACAGTAGCCTTTTTTGTTACAACCAGAAGGAAGAGCTGGGTGTGGTGGCACAGACCTATAATCCAGCACTCGGGGAGGCTGAGGAAGGAGGATCACAAGTTCTAGTCCACCCGGGGCAACCTAATGACTTACTGAGACCCTGTTTCAAAGAAATTTTTTAAAAAAGAGCCGGGGATATAGCTCAGTGGGAAGGAACACGGTTCAATCACCAGTACTGGAGGGAAAAAAAAAAACAGGAGTGCAATCCAAAATAATGATGAAAAAGTGTAGGTTAGTAAAGACAAACAGTAACAGAGTTGCTTATTATTATGTCCTGTACATGAATTTCTGTGCCGTACTTTTATGCCACTTAGGGATGGGATAGGTTTGCCTACCAGCATCTTCACAAACCTGTGAAAATCTGCTGCACTATGTTGTTACAGTGGCTACGATGTTACTAGGTGATAGGAATTTTTCACTTCCATTCGAATCTTATGGGACCACCAATCATACATGTGGCGCTTCCCTAACCAACACAGTTATAGCACACATGAGTGTACTCTGGAACAGGCCAATGATGGTGAACCTTTTAGAGCTTTCAGTAATAACAAACATCTAGCACATGTGCCATAGGTTCACCACCACTGTACTAGGCCCTCTCCTTTATGTATTTATTTTTTTGTGAGACAAGATCTCACTAAGTTACTAAGTTATCCAGGATGGGCTCAAACTTACAATCCTCTTATCTCAGTCTCCGAGTCCTAGGATTATAAACCTGGCTGCCCTTTCTCCTCTGATGAAAGAAATGATTCCTGATTTATCCCGCCCTTCCCTTCCCCCAGTGTCTATGTAGCATGAAGTCTTAACAACAAAACTATTGTTAAAAATAATAATACCTCCCTTTACTGAGCACTTACTATGTGTCAAGCACTGAACTAAATATTTCACACATCACTCCGATCTAT